AGTGCAGACTTCCCTGCTTTGGTTGTGAAGGCCAGCGGTCTTGCAGCTGGGAAAGGGGTGATTGTTGCACAGAGCAAAGAAGAGGCCTGCCAAGCCGTGCAGGAGATCATGCAGGTAGGTTGATTCCTCCGGAAAAGTACATTTCTAGTCACTGGATAAATACCCTTACATTTACAAAATGTTCCTCGAAGTAAGGAAAACATCTAGCAAACACACAGGTAAGTTATTGTTCATAATACTTCATATTATAATCCATCGCTATAAGAGTTATTACAGATCTACACTGATGGCTAAGCCATGATTCTATTCTTTGGAAGTAAGCTCTAGCATCCTTTGTTGTCTGCTACTGAAAAGTAGAAAATCCTCAGGCTATAGAACATAACAAATAAATTCTCAGCCTTTCATGAGGACAGAATGATTTGTCCTTTGTGTCCCTGGTCTCAGAGAACTGAAGCAATGAATTAATATATCAGTACTTTGCTTTTCTTTTATGATCCATCTTGGTTGTTGTGGCTTACCCTCCTTTTAGAAATCTTTCACAGACATTCTTTACTATAATTATTGGAGGCAAACATATAAATTATAATCAGAAATAAGAATTAAATGGCAATGATGAAAACAGCTGTTTTTCCATTACCTTGTTTGAAACTGGAAAGCGCGATCCCCAGGAGAGTGTTAATGACGCACTCATTTCATCTGTACCAGTGCTAGCCCTGTATCATTGCCACTGGAAAAAGAGGAAACGTATATATTCCTTTGAGGCTTTCAGAAAGGGAAAGGGAAATTACAATACTAGTGTATTGGTTCATAATACAAATGGTAGAAAATAACAGCCAATTAAGTAAATATTAAAAGCTTACAATTTACTTTTTTTTAAATCTACAATAAGGATAAAGCTTTTGGAGCAGCTGGAGAAACAATTGTCATTGAAGAACTTCTTGAAGGAGAAGAAGTGTCTGTAAGTGTCTAATTCATCGTTGGGGCTTTTATAGAGTATAAGAAGCTATGGTGTCTGACCTGTGAGCTCCCAAAAGACTTGATTTATTCTGGTTGTTTCATCTGAAAGCATAAACCAAGCAGTTACAAAGAAATTTGTATACATTTAGTATTTGGGATGCAAATGAAAAACGAATTTATCCTCTTTTAATCATCCACAGTGTCTCAGTAAGGGACTTGAACTTATTATTTAATTATTTTAATTATTTAATTATTTAATTGAACACATTATTTAAAAGGGGGAAAGGCTGAAATATTTTACTTTGCAGGTAGCATGATTTTTTTTTTTTTTTACCTAACCTAGCTCAAAAATTATAGATCCTTCAGAAACTGAATATACAAGATCTGGTTCTTGATGTAGGTAGCTTAGGGTTATTTATGTTCCAACTCATTTTACTTTAAAAAAAAAAAAAAACTTGTCCTCTAAGAAGAGTTAAGGTACATATAGTTCTCCTTATTAAATAATTTTTGTTTTTTACTTTTTGGCATTTAAGGTAAGTGGACTATTTGTTTTCTGTACAGTGTCTGTGCTTCACAGATGGAAGGACTGTGGCCCCCATGCCCCCAGCACAGGACCATAAGCGATTGTTGGAAGGAGATCACGGCCCCAACACGGGGGGGATGGGAGCCTATTGTCCAGCACCTCAGGT